AACACAGTTTGGTAGGAGAAAAAAGCATTGATACGTCATGATACATTAGGCAAAAGCCCCATCAACACAACTTATTTGCATATTAACTATAAGTATGGGGAAATATCGCCTTCCCTTATGTTCCACTATGATTCCAAATAAACCACAATTTCGTAGGGGAAAAAACCATCATGTTTCTGGCAACAAACAGGCATGACTCCGCCCACAAAAGCAAAGAAATGTGTTTATCAGTCAGGCAGCAATTTGCAGTCTTTTAATTGTCCACATTAGAAGAATGAAAAAGGCAAGGCTGGATTACCTCTAAAACATAATATCCATGCTGTGTTTGACTATTGCTTATGCTATCATTCTTAAAAAGATAGAGTGCAAGCAATTAATCTGTGAAACACTAATTACTAAATAGTACCAAATAGTGCTAATTAAACAATAGAAACAATGGAATTTGCATGAAATTGTGCTATTTAGTATTGCTAACATTTCACGGTTATATTGTTTGCTCTCTATTCCAATGTGACTTCATTAACCAAGGCCACCCAAACAAATGTTTTAATAAAATTAGCAAATGGCATTTTTGACGCTGAATATAAAATAATGGTGGTGAATTCTGGAGTTTAAACTGTTTATTGTTCATATGTGATCTTGCACACACAAAATATATGCTTTTATATTATTCATGGGAAGCACCGTTGGCGTGCGCTGCTAATGCGCCGCCTCTCAGCAATGCAGCACAAGTTCGAGTCCTGCCAAACTCGATGACATGTGTGAGTAGAGTTGTTTGTTGGTTCTCTCCTGTGCTTCGAGGGTTTTTCTCCGGGTTCTCCGGTTTTCCTCCCACCTCAAAAATCAACTACTAAATTCTAATTCGATCTTTGGGCTTTCACTTAGTTTGAAGCCTAGCTCTGTTGTGATTGTCCCAATATGCTGTGATACAACATTGAAAAGCTTTGTAGATTTTAGATTTTAGATTATGGGGGGGAAATGTGAAAATTTGTGCAGATTTTATTGTTTAAATACTCAATTGTGATTGGCTAATTCAATTTGTCTGAGTGGTGATTGGTTGATATAGTCGCACGGTAATAATGAATTACATATATTATACAGTATAAGATACCTTTAACAGTTGTTTTCCCTGGGTCAGTAGGAAGGACAGTCCCAAGAGCAAGTTCACGTACTGACACATCTTTCTCCTCAACAAAGAAGATGTCAACATCTTTAAGACTTGTGCTGCGGAATGGCATTTCTTCTGCAGAACCATACCCATATATTGGCTAAAAGGACAAATAACAGCAGCATTTAGTTACTGTACACTAAATAAAGGTTAAAACGCTAGGGCAAGGGTTTGCATTGAAGTTCAAGATCGAGGGTCTTGAATTTCAATGCTAATCTGAGCACATGCATTTTAACTGGTTTAAAAAACAACCAAGCCCTGTTTTAAATGTTTGATGTCCAGAGGGTTTGAATTTTGATGGAAAAACCTGTACTGGGTTTTGAATTCAGCCCCGCTCTCCCCTGTTAGTATCAATGCTGATAGGTTTTCCATCGCAATTCAAACCCGACATCAAACAATAGAAATAGGGCGTGAATGTTAGAAGTACTATACTAACCCAAGTCTCATCTCTGATTGATCTCTGGACTCAGCATCACACGAGAATAGAGTTTGATTTATAAGTCTCGAATCTACCTTGATGGAAGGTTTTTATCTTTTATGGTTTTCCTCTCTTAACAAAATCCAACAAGGTAAATTACAATTTCAATCTGTGAGTTAGTTGTGCCCTGACTTAGATCAGCCAAGAGATTGCTTCAGGGTTTGATAAACATTTGAGGGATTGTGTACTAACTCAAGATTTCTAAGCAGCAGTACAGATGGTATAGACCACTTTCATAATATTTCAAGAGGTTATTTATGTACCTCAACACTACATAGTTGTAATGCTCTGTTCAAATCTTCTGTTGTCATTCGTTTTCTCCTTCCATGTTTCATAAATTGGGCTGCATTCTTCAATAATAAAGAAACACAAATGAATAAAAAATGGATGGATGGATTAGATTAGAATAGATGGATTGGATTGATTGTTTGGTATATAGGTCATTTCACAGATGAATTGGTTGATCATTTTTTAATTGGTGGATGGGATATTGGGTTGATTAATGGGCAGACAGAAAAATGAATGTAAGGATGAATAGTTGGGTAGAACAGGATGAATGAATGAATGAATGGGTGTGCTAGATTGATGGGTGAAATGAATGAATGTATAGGAAGGAAAGAAAGAATAGATAGATGAATTGGTGGGATAGATAGATTGAAGGAGGAGTGGATGGAAGTGTGGAATGGATGGATGGATTTGTGGGAAGGTAAATAGATGAAAGGATGGAAATATAATATGAGTGGGTTGCAATAAAAGAATATACGGGAAGCACGGGTGTCGTAGCGGTGAGAGCGCTCGCCTCTCACCAATGTAACCTGGGTTCAAGTCCCACTGAGCTCGGTGTCGTATGTTAGTAGAGTTGTTTGTTGGTTCTCTCCTGTGCTTCAGGGGTTTTCCGGGTTCCTCAGCTTTCCTCCCTCCACAAAAAATCAACTCTTAAATTCCAATTGGAATTACAGTGGATGAAGAGCCACTCTGTGGAAATGCCACTGCTAAATCCCATTTATTATTTATTTATTATTATTATTATATGCAAAAATGGGTAAATAAATAGTACTCTAGAAGCAGGATAATGCAATTACCAAAGGAATTTCCACTGTTTTTTACTGCCTCTCGCAGCTGCTGTCCAGGTTCAAGCCCTGGCTCAAACTGGGTCATATGTGAGTTGAGTTTGTTTGATGTTGTCTCCCTTGCCACAAGGATTTTTTTCAAGGTCTCTGATTTTCACTTTTCCTAACATTTCCATGGCAGTCAAGTACCCCTCCCCTTAAAAATCTTCCCCCTCAAATAGTTTCACTATAAACATTTTGCAATTTTGTTCTTACGCGAAAGAATGCCTAGTGTAAGGATACCAGGTCATAATATTTCTCTTTATCGTCCTCTTTTACCTGGATAATGTGCCTCATTCTGTATGTCGTGTCCTCTGCTAAAGATTTACTTAAATCAGTCGGTAGACCAGTTATTCCGATAGTCTCTGCATAAAGGTTCACACTCTCGTGCGAGAGCACTGTAAAGCGAGTCTCTTCGGGAGGTTTTGAAGCCATTTCTATCAAGGAAAGGGATATTTATCTTCAAAGAGAATCAAAGACCTTTGACAACATATTGACCGCCATTTTGGATTTGAAAAACGGAGGAAGACTGGTACTGGTCCATTATAAAATATTTTTCAGTTTTTATTTATTTATTTATTTAGCTTTGCCATATACATGCATTTAAACACCCACGCATACACAAACACACACAAACACGTTACGTATAATAAATACATACATAATGGCTGGGAATCCACTACAGCATGTGCCAATTACCGTGGCCCCTCACATATATATTTACGTAGCCTATTCGCCAGACAAAAA